GAGCCCCCCAGGTTGGAAGGCACTCAAAATATGACTGGGAAAGAGCTGCCTCCTTGAAGTAGAGTCGACCTTAATGACGTGGATGGAGTCAAGCTTTCAGGACCTTCATTTGCTGATGTGGCATGACTCAAAATGAGAAGAAAGAGCTACAAACATCCATTAATAATCAGAACCTGGAATGTATGAAGTACGAATAAAGGAAAACTGGAAATTGTCAAAAATGAAATGGAATGCATAAAGATCAATATCCGAGGCATTGAGCTGAAATGGACTGGTATTGGCCATTTTGAATCAGACAATCATTTGGTCTACTATGCTGAGAATGACAGCTTGAAGAGGAATGGTGTTGATTCGTCGTCAAAAAGAACATTTCAAGATCTATCCCGAAGTGCAATGCTATCAGTGACAGGATAATATCCATATGCCTACAAGGAACACCAGTAAATATGACTATTGTTCAAATGTATGCACCAACCACTGAGGCCGAAGATGAAGAAACTGAAGATTTTTGCCAACTTCTGCAGCCTGAAACTGATCAAACATGCAATCAGGAGGCACTGATAATTACTGGTGACTGCAATGCAAAAGTTGGAAACGAAGAAGGATTGGTAGTTTGACAATACGGCCTTGATGATAGAAACGATGCTGGAAATCCCATGATTGAATTTTGCAAGAGCAACGACTTCTTCACTGCAAATACCTTTTTTCACCAACATAAACAGCGACTATACACATGGACCTTGCCAGATGGCATAGACAAGAATCAAACTGACTACATTTGTAGAAAGAGAGATGAAAAAACTCAATATCATCAGTCAGAACAAAGCCAGGGGCTGATTGCAGATCAGACCATCAATTACTCATATGCAAGTTCAAGTTGAAACTAAAGAAAATTAAAACAAGTCCACAAGCACCAAAGTATGGCCTTGAGTATATCCCACCTGAATTTAGAGACCATCTCAAGAATAGATTTGACCGAAGACCAGATGAGTTATGGATTGACACCAAGGACATCATACACAAAGAAAGCAAGAGGTTATTAAAGAGGCAGGAGAGAAAGAAAAGACCAAAATGGATGTCAGAAGAGACTCTGAAACTTGCTCTTGAATGTCTAGTAGCTAAAGCCAAAGGAAAAAGGAATGAAATAAAAGAGCTGAACAGAAGATTTCAAAGGATGGCTTGAGAAGACAGAGTGAGGTATTATGATGACACGTGCAAAGACCCAGAGATAGAAAACCAAAAGGGAAGAACATGCTCAGCATTTCTCAAGCCGAAAGAACTGAAGGAAAAATGCAAGCCTCAAGTTGCAATAGTGAAAGATTCCACGAGGAAAATATTAAATGATGCAGGAAGCATCAAAAGAAGATGGAAGGAATACACAGTCACTATACCAAAAAGAACTGGTCAACGTTCAACCATTTCAGGAGGTAACGTGATCAGGAACCGATGGTACTGAAGGAAGAAGTCCGAGCTGCACTGAAGGCATTGGCGAGAAACAAGTCTCCCAGAATTGATGGAATACCAACTGAGATGTTTCAACAAATAGATGCAGCCCTGGAAATGCTCACTGGTCAATGCCAAGAAATTTGGAAGACAGCTACCTGGCCAACTGACTGGAAGAGATCCATATTTATGCTTATTCCCAAGAAAGGTGATCCAACTGACTGCGGAAATTATTGAATAATATCATTAATATCCCATGCAAGCAAAATTTCGCTGACGATCATTCAAAAGTGGCTGTAGCAGTATATCAACAGGGAACTGCCAAAAATTCAAGCAGGATTTAGAAGAGGATGTGGAACCAGGGATATCGTTGCTGATGTCAGATGGATCCTGGCTGAAAGCAGAGAATACCAGAAACATGCTTACCTGTGTTTTATTGACTATGCTAAGGCATTCGACTGTGTGGATCATAACAAGTTATGGATAACATTTTGGAGAACGGGAATTCTGGAACACTTAATTGTGCTCATAGGGAATCTGTACATGGATCAAGAGGCAGTCGTTCAAACAGAACAAGGGGATACTGCATGGTTTAAGTCGGGAAAGGTGTGCTTCGGGGTTGTATCCTTTCACCATACCTATTCAGTCTGTCTGCTGAGCAAATAATCTGAGAAGCTGGACTATATAAAGAAGAATGGGGTATCAGAATTGGAGGAAAATGCATTAACAACCTGCATTATGCAGATGACACAACCTTGCTTGCTGAAAGTGAAGAGGACTCGAAGCACTTACTGATGAAGATCAAAGACCACAGCCTTCAACATGGATTACACCTCAACATAAAGAAACAAAAATCCTCACAACTGGACCAATAAGCAACATCAGGATAAATGGAGAAAAGCTTGAGATTGTCAAGGATTTCATTTTGCTTGGATCCACAATCAACACCCATGGAAGCAGCAGTCAAGAAATGAAAAGATGCATTACATTGGGCAAATTGGCTGCAAGAGGTCTCTTTAAAGTGTTAAAAAGCAAAGATGTAACCTTGAGGACTAAGGTGCGCCTGACCCAAGCCATGGTATTTTCAATTGCTTCCTATGCATGCGAAAGCTGAACAACGAATAAGGAAGACCGAAGAAGAATTGACGTCTTTGAACTGTGGTGTTGGCGAAGAATCTTGAATATACCATGGACTGCCAAAAGAATGAACAAATCTGTCTTGGAAGAAGTACAGCCAGAATGCTCCTTAGAAGCAAGGATGGTGAGACTACGTCTCACACACTTTGGACATGTTGTCAGAAGGGATCAGTCCCTGGAGAAGGTCGTCATGCTTGGTAAGGTAGAGGGTTAGCAAAAAAGAGGAAGACCCTCAAGGAGATGGATTGACTCAGTGGCTGCAACAGTGGGCTCAAGCATAGCAACCACTGTGAGGATGCTGCAGGACCGGGCACTGTTTTGTTCGGTTGTGCAGAGTCGCTATGAGTCAGAACCGACTGCACGGCACCTAACAACAACAACTCTAACAATAAGAAGCCAAATCTCTTCAAAGAAATACTTCTTGAAGAGAGATGGTCATGAGTGCATTGTATCAACTTTGTTCAGCAAGTAACAAAGTAAATTGACAGCTGAGACAAGTGAATTAATCCACTGGAAAAAAAATATATGTTAAAAAAATTCTGACTTACGGGAGAAAAAAACAAAAAACTACTTTCAGCTTTATGCTGTATCAGCAATGTGTGTTTTAAGGTTTTAGAAAATTCATGTATTTTATTAATCTGCAATTACAACATAAAGTTCTGCTCAGTTAAAAAAGAAGTGTCAATGTGTCATGTATGTTATAACATATGAAGCCTGATAATTAAAAATATGTGACTGCTTTAGCTTAACAGAACTTGTATATCTAGTTGAATTAACATGTCGGAACGTTTATGTCTTCTAACTGATTCAAAGCTGCAAAGACAGAGATTGTATGGCTCAGTCTCAACATTACAGCTAGATCCATTTTTCTAGATTACGTTCTAAAGTCCTTTAATCTTTGAAAATTATATATATATGTATATGAACAACTTTAAAATCAACAGGAAAGCTTTTATAAATGTAACTGGGAATTTTTCATCACCTAATTTTATTTTTGATACGGTTCAAGTTATTAAAATGTCTGTTCAAAGATTTATTCTTTAAAGAGAAGTCGTCTCGTTTTTAATTTTGATTTTTTTTTTTTTTTTTACTTCATTGCTAAATTTTGGATTTTCTCTGACGGACTTTCATATTTATTAATGTATTTTATGTAATATTTTACTGCCCCCAAATTCACATTTCAAATATTGAATAATTGATATGTTTAATGGAGAATTTAATAAAATAATTGTCTAATTTCGTTTGAACTCTTCATCTGCCTACAAATTCGTTCCAAAACATTTTGAGATCATTTATTTTTATGGAAATGTACATTTAAAAAAAACTTCAAAGCCTTCTATTTACACTTGACCCTAGATTTTCACCAAAATACAGTGCTAAAGCTGCCAGAATCCCGAAGGTAGCATTTTAAACTAATTTGGATTTACAGCATATATCTATTTAAAATAAATTGATTTAGCCTTGCTGTCTCCGTACAGGGGAAAGAAAAATCTCATGGGTTTTAAAAGTAAGGTTTCAATGTCACGTTTCCATTTCAAACCTCCTACGTCAGAATAACAAAAAGAGTTTATTCAGAGACACCTTCTTAAGATGGATTAAAAGCAGTTGAGAAAATTGTGAATAGAAAAATAAGCAGACATTCAAATGCTCTTATTTTCCAACTCTAGGACCAGTTTCTTTTAACTCTGGATAGAAAATATTAAATGACTTTTCTGATGTCTATCTTTGCTCTTGAGTAAATTAATTTTAAGATAAACTTTTTTAAATCATACTGCTGCAGTTACCTCTTCTCTCTTTCATATCTGTCACTCCTAAGATTATTGTTTTTTCCAGAATATATTGAAATAAACTGTATCTAATTTTTGAATATTTGAAAGAAAAAGTTTTCTGATTGATTAAAAGAAAGTGTCAGCGGCCAGAGATTGGTTCTTTTGAGAAAGTAGTGTTATTGTAGAAATGTTTGAGTCTGTATCTGATAAAAGGGTGTTATGTTAACATCCCACCACTTACAATTCTGGCCAATTAACATTTCCAAGGCTCTTGTTCTGCTACTAATCAGGAATAGATCATTTAGAATTTTGGCAATGAAGATATACTTTTGGTTGTCTCTTAAACTGAATTATTCCTAGAGCTAATCTGGAGTGTTTTTCAATATATTTTAGATTGTGACTATTTCAGATTGTTTCTTGTGTGCAAAGTGTTTTTGGTTAAAGCTAAAATGTGCCAGAACAAAATGATGTGTGGGGCCTTTGTAAATAGAAAAGAAATTATTTGACATAATGACGCAGTGTTAAAAGATGGAGCCCTCCATACTCTGCATAGCATCTACGATTATTATTGAACTGTCTCCCTCTGCATTTTGTCAAAAACATGTTAGAACCATCTCTTGACTCTCTCTGGCCCCTTCATTTTTTCTGCAG